GACAAATAAGTAAATACAATTTACAGACTTTCTATTAATTGGCAAATTTTATTGACTCGGCGTTTTAAAAGCTTTCAGTTAGACTCTGTTCTTCACAAGAACAGTGTAATAATAAAAACAAAGTGCATTGTTTGTGGTCGTGGAGCATACGAAACAAGAAGAGGGGCTTGAGTAGGTAGAAAAATCCAATAGTTGTTCTATTTTTAGTAGGCCTGTTTGAGAAGTCAGGAAGAAACATAGGGGTTAAACTTGTGTGTCTTTTGACGGCTGCTTCGTTTCGCAATTCTAAGTCAACACTACTTATTTGCCAGATAAAAAGAGGGGAAAAGGGGAAAGAGTGTCTTAGAGATTTGAGGTCACCCCAAGAAAAAAGTGGGAACTAAACAGAATTAAGTCATCCTATCCATCTGCCTTAAAAATGTTCGTCCAAACCCTCCATAATCAGCAAGACAACACAAGGAACAATATACACGTGGGGTAAGTCTTATGATTATAACCAATTTTCAGAAGTGCTGTATCGTCAAAATTGTAAAACAACAATAAAAAACAAATGCTGTCCATTTTTATTTGTATCTGTTACAGATAGGTAAATATTGACTAGTCTGTATTCATTGAAGTTATTTGTCACAAGTACAAGAGCCTCGATAGATAACCAAGATTAATGTATATGACACGATTCTCTTGGGAGATCAGGAGACGCATTCCCCTGTAAAAAAATTACAATTTTAGAAAAGTCTTGGTACAATTCGTATGAGGTTTTCGCATAAACCTATTCAAGAGCTATCTGCACATAGCTTTGTTTGTTTGTTTTTGAATTTTGCGCAAAGCTACACGAGGGTTATCTGCGCTAGCCTTCCCTAATTTAGCAGTGTAAGACTAGAAGGAAGGCAGCTAGTCTTCACCACCCACCGCCAGCTCTTGGGTTACTCTTTTATCAACGAATAGTCGGATTAACTGTCACATTATAACGCCCTCCACGGCTGAAAGTGCGAGCATGTTTGGTGGGACGGGGATTCGAACTCGCGACCCTCAGATTGCGAGTCGAGCGCCCTAACTACCTGGCCATGCTGCATATAGCACCCCTGATTTTAAACTAATATATTAGAGGGACGGAAGCCAGCCAACAGCACTCTTGCCTGATCGAATAGTGGGATTTGAGTGTTACTCTTATAGTGGACTCACGGTCCCAAAGTGAAGGGTGCGTTTTACGGCAATGGATCGCGAATCAATAATCATCGGATTCACAGCTTTGGCATGCTACCCACTCGGCCACGCCCAGCCCGTCTTGATACAGATGTGATAAACGTGCACTAAAACTCGTGTCCAAAATATACCCTACAGATGTACCTGCGTAACTCGAGAGGCCAAGTATAACACTGCGTTTCTCACGGAATTCTGTACCATCATCTTTTTGTAGTCCTGCCACAGAATCTCACGGTCAAAGAAAAACTACTTCAATATACCGTTCCTTCTAAGGGCTGGGAAAAACACGACTAGTTTCGGAGCTACCGGTTCGAATCGCGTCTTCGGTGGCTTTGGGTTACGACCTTTTATTATGTAGGTAATAAGCTTAAAGTTCGGCTTCCAGAAATTACGATATACTTTCTTTTTTATGTTTCACTTGCGTTGGTAACACGTCTGACGACTGCAGTTACAAATCAAAATTGAAAATCATTATGACGTAATTAAAATTTGATAGGTTTATGCATTCGTATTGAGATAGGGTGGTTATTTCTATAAATATAACTGCATAACTCCATATCAATATATATATATATATATATATCCTTTGCTAAAAGATTCCTTAAACACCCGGATTATTAACCCCACTTTTCTATGCTTAATTTCTTAAGTACAGAGTCAAACTTACACATATTAGTGTTGAGCATTGGTCAATATCCTATCAGTAGAAGCAGGGTAATCTGTAACTTACTTATAATCCCTCTACATACTAGTATTCAAAAAAACAAAATCTTATCCTGCACGAATGGATCTAGAACAATTATCGATTCATGGTTACTTGGATTTACTTATTTAATGTGTACAGATCAGATCAGATTCGAGGTTAAAGAACTCTATAAAAGTTGTCAACGTCATAAAAGCACATCCTCTCAAGCCTCTTGATTTGAAGGGTTTTGCAGAGAAACGGGGATTGAATGTTAGTACCTTTGGGGATGTCTGTTTGTATGTTTGTTTTTGTAATTAAGCACAAAGCTACACAATGGGCTGTCCGTGCTCTGCCCACCACGGGCATCAAAACCTGGATTCTAGCGTTGTAAGTCCGCAGACATACCGCTGTGCCACTGGGGGGGGGGGGCAAACTATTTTGAAATTGCTGAAAATAAAAACACAACAAAAAAAAAACTTTTAATTTGTAGTTCAGCGTCTAATGATATCAAACTGATCTCTGTAAATCTTGTCTCCATAAATGAAAATACTAACACTAAAAGGGTGTATTTAAAGCGCTAATGAACATATCATCCAATTCATTTTAAACTGTACTACTATATTTAGCGAGAGTAAATTAAGTTTGTGCTGTCAACTGACAATACGAAAGAAGTGGTAATATACTTTAACGTCCAGCATACCGAGTTTATGTATCTCTGTGTCTCTTACTTCTCTATGCACGGGCTATAGAGTTTTATGTTGGTACAGATATGTTCAATTCTGTGAACAGTACGGAGTTCTGCTCCTGATAATTTTCTCCTTCTCCGAGATGTGATGTGGCTTCTGTTATCTTTCATATATTTTGTAAACGTGTTTAGTCCAGCAGCAGTATTCTCAACTATGGTATCAACTACAGTGTTGTAGTTGATGGTTGAATGTATCCTATAGGATACAGAGTAAAGACATACCTACACAGAAGTGGGGATAAATTGCCTATGAGACTTAATCCTGAGAAATGAAATCAGAATATAAAAAACCGATAAAGAAAGGGAAAATTTTAGGTACTCTAACGCAAAACGTCCCATATCTAAAAGTACAACCCTCTTAATTCCAACTAATTGTAGAAGGTAGTTGTTTTTATGTTTTTGCGCAAAATCATACGATGGGCTATTTGCGCTGTGTCGGGAATCAAACCCAAATTTTGGTGTTTTCAAAGAAATAAAAATATAACACGAAAAGTTACATACTACTTAAAATTGACTATTGGTGGTGGCTACATAAAATTCATCTCTTGAAGCTAATGTTTCAGTTGTCGTAATGGTCACAAATGTACGTCAATGAAAAAGTAGAGTAAAATATATAATGGGGATCAATATAAGTTTCCTAAAAAAAGTAACGCAAACCCAAATCTGAATAGCACTTTCTTTAAAAAACGTAAGTTTCGTAATAGTTTGGAATGTTTTTGAACTTTGTATTAAAACACAAACAAATAATAGGTACCTGTATAATATACAAAATTTTAAATTTAAAAAGTTATATACTTTTTATTTGAAAGAAAAAACTAGTTCATTGTTTACTATCCCATAAATTTACTTTTACTCGAAAAGCTAATTATATTTCAATCCCATAAACTGACTTTTACTCGAAAAGCTAATTATGTTTCAATCCCATAAATTTACTTTCACTCGAAAAGCTAATTATATTTTAAAACACTACTATAATGTAGGGTGATAAAACTTTAGTTTTTTCCCCTAATTGGTTTTTTTGTGATTTTTACGACTGAGTTGAAAAGCATATTTTGTAAACATGTAAACAGGAAGGTTTTGTTTTTGATTTTTTTTAAATTTCGCGCAAAGCTACACGAGGGCGTCGCTAGCCGTCCCTAATTTAGTAGTGAAATACTAGAGGGAAGGCAGCTAGTCATCACCACCGACCGACAACTCTTGGGCTACTCTTTTAGCAACGAGTAGTGGGATTGACCGTCACTTTATAACGCCACCACGGCTGAAAGGGCGAGCATGTTCTATGGGACGGGGGATTCGAACCCGCGACCCTCAGATTGCGAGTCGAGCGCCCTAACCACCTGGCCAAACAGGAAGGGAAGCGAGAAGCTGGAAGCGAATACTCGAGAACGAGACGTACAAGATATACCAAAATAAAATTATGATAAGCTTCTAAGCGATACAACCTATATGTTTATAGCACTGAAAACACCAAAGTGGATTACGCTTTGGAGAGTTCAAACATGGACTGCCTGGTGTGTCCAACGAAATGTAGTAAAACTTTACTGTTCATCAGCTCTTCTTTTCTGCTTATCTGTAAAGCATTGAAACGTATATGCCTTGAAGCGTATAATTGTAACCTCAACTAGTTGTTTCACAGTCCCACCCCTCTTTTTTACCCTTGGGATGCTTAGAGAAGAGAAGGCTTCTTATACTCTAATCCATACTATTATCCACCGATTAGCTAAGCCTTTAAGTTAGAGCAGCTACACCATTTACTATATACGCTTGCTTAATTCGTGATAATTTAGTAAAATACATGTAACTTTTGGCCTAGAAAGATAACTCAAAATGGAGTCCCGGATTTTAGTATTGTAAGTCTGGAAATTTACCACTGTCTAATAGGATTCTTGCAATTGGAAGAAGGTTGAATGGCATCAAAAATTTTCATAAGCACGAAACATAAAATATTTGTCACTGTTACCGCATAAAAATATAGTTAAATATAACATAGTTTCAAAACAAAATCGAACTATGAGTTTTATTTTGAACGGTGTGTGAATTTCTGAAATTGGTGAGTGACGGATATCTTTGTTGTCACGGTTACATAACCGACATAATGAAAGTCGTAAGGAATAGTTTCCCTAGTCATCATAAGAACGAGTTGTCAGTAGACCTATAATCTAAACTCTTGCTTAGTGTTAAACCTTTCTTAAAAGTGTTTTGTATACAGTATTAAAACAATATTTTCAACAACTTAAAGATGTTTTACCTGGAACGAACCCTTGGCACTTAAAAAATATAAAATAACTTTAGTTTTAACCCTTTTTACCTGCGAGTCTTTTTAATATCACATGCAACAAATCAATACACTCTTGATTATCTACTTACGTCAGCATATTCGGCACAAGATTCCACCGACGTCACAAACCTCACAACGTCATCAATAGTCCACAGTGCAACCTCACTAGCATTTGACTTGTTTGAACAAGATTTGTCGGTACAAAAGGAAGGACAACGAACTTTATCAGAAGATTTGGGCGATGTCCGAACAGGTGAATTCTCGGATTTGGATATTCTTTCGTCTAGTAAGTTCGACCAACTTGGAGTTTTTCGGACGCTGACCTTTGACACGGGATCATTATGATTACTTGTCAGCGATTCTGTTTCTGTTTTTATACAGCCAATAATGTCACTAATGTTTTGTGAAATAGGCGAATACAGTCGAGAACGATGCAGTAATGTATCAGTGGTATCCAAACGAGGGCGCTTTGTTGTCCCCATCGTTAGATCTAAAGGATCCGATTTATTCTCTGACTCGAGTGGTCTCTTATTTGCCCCTCGAAGATAGTTTTCCAGCTGAGAAGCACTCTGCGCACTGGCAGTTCGAACTAGGTTTAGAAGCGTTTGTGAAGATGAAAAATCGCCGAAACTGAAGGGAACTGTACGGTTCTCTCCAAGGACAGGAGATAACTTGTGGTGGCTTTCTAATTTTCTACTGTTGTTGTCTGACGGTTCTGAAGTTCTTCCCAGAATTCCGCTCTTGTACAGATGAGTTTCAAAAGGTCGAGCTATCCCATTAGGTTGAACAAAACTAAAACTGAGAAACAGAAAGAAATCACACATGGAAAAAATAAACTGTCAAAACCAGTAGTTGTCATATATAATAATATATTGACCAATTCGAACACAAGTACTAAGATAAAGAATGTGCTAAACTATTCGGCTTGAAATAAATTTTTTGATAAGAAATTAAAGTTAAAAACGGTCTCTAAAGTCAGTTAGTATAAAACGTCATTATAAACGTTTTTAACAATAAGTGAAATTTGATAATCTAGTCTTAGTTGTAATTGGTATACATTTAGAGTAAATTTTATCTTGAACATCTCGTTTATTTTTCCTTTATAGCTATGCAATGAATAAATATTAAACGTGTTTGCGTTAACAAGAAGTTGTGGCTACAGTGTGAATGATAAATGTTCTAAATAAATATTTATCACACTACGGCATTTTTAAAAATAGAATTTAACATTTTCATCAATAAAAACTTGTCTAAAACGTACACAGTTACATCTCTTGTTTTATTTATTTTAATAACCCATATATTTGAAAATTTCACGTAAATCTATATTTCATGGTTTATGTAAGTCTGCTTTCCAATGACATAACGTTAAAATCCGGGTTGCAAGAACCCATTGTGTAGCTTTGTGCTTAATTATAAACAAAATTAAGTAAATCTTTATACAAATATAGGTGTACTACCATATTAAATGAAATATATGTGTCACGCTGAATACACAAAGAAGTCTAATCCCGATTTTTTTGTGGTATAAATCTCAAGAAATAAATCTGACTCATTCCTATATAACTAAGTATGTCTTGATAGCTTTACTTGTTAATTACTGAAACATAGGATCCTTTATTACAAAATTCTCTAGGTTTAAAAATGGAACGATAAGTTCAGAGATTCTGGAAAAACTTCAATGAAGTGCGAAGCGATTCATCTGAAAGTACTGAATATGCCGAAATAAATGAGAAAAACTAAGTTTAATTTTTATACTTTATTTTTATTGTACGACGATACATTTTTCTCAGTTCTTAATATTTTTATATATATAGAGTTACTCCAGGCAAATTCCAGTTTCATTTTTCAACTTTTGTTGTTCAAGGATTGTTTTAAAAAGTTCCTGAAAGTTATCAATATGTTTTAACAAAAATTACAAGAGTTTTATCAATTACTGTTTCTTCGGCAAAACGAAACAAAGAGAACAGTAAACTTAACTTGAAAGTTTGGTACATGGAAAGTTATTTCAAATGCTTAGAGCGCTTGTTCATTTATCAGAGGCGTGGATTTGGTTCTTTAAAATAAAATTCAAAAAACAATTTGAATAACGTTCTCTAAGCCTATCTCAAACTAGTTTCGAGCTAAGTAATCGAAGAAGAACACGTTTGGTCAAACGAAAACAGAACAAAATGAAGCCATAACATTTGGCATTATGCTTCAGCTCCCTGGGTAAATTTTTGTTAAATGTTAGATCAGTTACTTGTTTCTTTAAGCAAAAATTACTATGGAAGTTAAAATTGGTATAAAAGAACACGAAGAAATTCCTAAAGCTACTGACAGAACCATATAATTCAGTGTCGACGTTAGGCACCATTCAATATATGCGATTTACCAAAGACAGACTAAGAATATTAATTATGATTACTGAGTGACTCCAACCATTAAATGCATTGCAAGTTTTCTAAGTTAAAGTTCACAGAAGACTAGATCTCGTATCTAAATTATATCTAAGCATATTATCTCTAGCAATAAATTGGAAGCGGCGTCTTAACAGAAGCTTATACTTAGACAGCTACTATCCTAACAATACCTCTGTTAAACACGGTTTGACCTATTATAACGTAATTTTTTAATATTGCTGTGATAAGTCTTAACAGACAATGGACTCAAAGCTACTGTTAAAGAATGTGTAGGATGAACTAAATGAATAGGGTCAAAAGAGCTCATCCACATCTGAGCTGTCGAACTACGATGATTCTCTGTTACTTCCGTCTATCATTTTACATCGCTCTGCAGGGGCGCTGGCGGTCATGTCACAGCCAAGCAGGTGTTTATGCATGACAAGCACACCTACATAGCTCTCCCTATAACTGGTCTCTCTGAACTAGATTCCTCGCCCACGGACCTCCTTCAGAGTGACCAGAGGGTACGTGGCTTAATTAAGGAGCTAACCAAGGCAGACAGACAGGGAGGGTTGAGAGCAGTATCAGATGAAGCACGAGGCTCGTTCCTCGATCTAAGCAGCCCTCGCCCAAGCCAAGTGTGGCTCTAAAGGCCAGGAATACGTTGACCCACAACATCCGCATGCCTGACCGCTCGCGTCCTTTTGTATCTCTAGCATTTTTCAGTTAGCCCTGAGTGAAGACTTTGTCTTTCACCCGCAGACCAGTACTTTATATAATAAGAGCTGTAACAGCGGCACTATCTAGCCAGACTATTAGGACTGAGAAAACAGTACGAACGGCTAGTTAACGAATATTGTGAGATAAGATACCGGCCTATCCTTCGAAGAACAATGGGTTAAACTGTTTATTTTTAAACAACGTACTTCAGGATATAATGCCAGTTCCTTTTCATAATAATGCTTTGATAAGAGTTAGTTGGTAGAAAAAAGTTCAATTAGCAATGTACAGCTTTAAGTTTCACTTGCGACAATACAGTATTGCAATTGCTAAAGTAGTCCCAGTTTCTAACAAAGGCAGCTGCTTTCAAAACAATATAGTTTTGCAGTTGGTAGAATATTTCCATTTTCAACAAAAGTAACTGCATCAAAATAAAAAATGAAAGTCAATGTATCGCAAAGAATAAGTTCAAACTGAGCAGCATTTCAAAGTCGTACACCTAGTATCATACGTTTTTACAAGTCTACTTAGTTATCAGAGCTGAAAAATTATTTAAAAATTATTTTTTTACAATTTATCTTTTCGTAATACAGGTGGCATATACCTATGTTTTACTTACACATATCAGCATTTGTACACTTCACACAGGATATAATTTTTTTTATCGTTTCATGATTTTTGATTTAGGTAAAGCTGACTGGAGCATAGTAAACGTAATTACAAATAAATAAAACGAGCGTGAACTCTGGAGAATCTTACAAGTAGTTTTATTTGCTCAACATTTCGGCTTTACGCCTTTATTAAGAGCATACAGTTTCTGTAATGAACTCTATCACTCAAATTAAGGTCGTTGTATTCTAAGAATTAAACCATTCACAACACAATAGTAAAAAGAAAGCCTAAACTGGAAAGTTTAATAAAATTTGATATTGTAAATAAGTTATTATCTATGTAAACTTAAGTTAAATTGAAGGGAGAAGCCATCCATTATATTTGTTCATTGTCGATTCATAATTTTTCTCTGAGACGTTATTCTTTACTTTGATATAAGAAATCGTCGGCTCTTGTGAGAATTATAAATGGCCTTTGTAATAACAGGAACGATCACATGCATGATGTTCTCTTGTGCGTGGTTTAATTCTTAGAATACAGCGGTCTTATTTTGAGTAATAGAGTTCAATACAGAAATTATATACTTCTGGGAACGGCGTAAAGCTGAGACGTTTAGCAAATAAAACAACTTGTAAAGATTCTCTGGAGTTCACGGTCGTTTCATTTATTTGTAATTATGATTATACCTGTTTCAAGTACACTATATATATAACGTCTAGACTACGATAAAAAAAAACACAAGGCCAAACTTCGTAATTAAATATCACTTTATTATTATACGAAATGAAAACTAAAACAACTCAAAATATTTTCCACTGTAACATAGGTAGATCCCATAGAACAGTTATTTGTTGTAAGTGAGGACAAGTGAACAGTCTATAAAGCGAAATAATTTGCTTGGTCAGAAACACCATTCATAAACGAAAAATAACTCACCACACTATATATTTACGTGATAATCGTGTATAGAACAGTTTATAAAACAACATATATATATTATTGATATACTCATGGTAATTACGTGCCATTATTTTGTGTGGGAGAGAGCAAATTAACACAAAGTAGCATGGATAATCAAGATAGGGGTAGAACAGACGGCTTGGATAATCAAGATAGGGGTAGAACAGACAGCTTGGATAATCAAGATAGGGTAGAACAGACGGCTTGGATAATCAAGATAGGGGTAGAACAGACAGCTTGGATAATCAAGATATGGGTAGAACAGACGGCTTGGATAATCAAGATAGGGGTACAACAGACAAAAGTCTTCAAAGATTTTGAAAACTGTTTTTCTTTTTAATTAGTCGTTTATTTAACTCAAATAAACTCATGTTTTCTTACAGAGAATACCCGCTGTTTATGCCTAGGAAATTGTAATCTCCACACAAGTGCCTTACGCATACCACGTTAGGCCTACTTAGATGGCAAGCCCACTGTTTAAATTGGCCTAGCCCATTCATCCGTCTCGATATCGTCCTCTCACTGCTTCACCCAACACGCTGATCAGCTGTAACCGCTGGACTTCTAATAGTCGCTGCGGTTGTGGCTCTTCTATAATTATAGGCCTCAGCTGACCAGGCCTCAACACTCAAGTACCACCGCCCATTGGAAACCCTGAACTTTACTTCGGAAATGCGCGTGCCCGCGTGCCACTCACCACTCCTCGGTCATACCTTTGTAGGATAAAGTTTTCATTTATCCATTACTTTCACTCGTAGATTTCGGAACTTAACAGAAAATGTATACCAAAGAATGTCACGTGCTTCTCATTTCTTTGTTGTTTCAATCTCTACGTGAACTATTTTTCTACTAAATAACTTATAAAATTATTCATGTTGTCAGGTTGATGAATTAAACTTTTGTGACAAGACTCTCAAGTTAAACTTTCCGCATGTTTTCTTGTCAGGGACGAAAATTTTCAATTATAAATCCCTGCTTTTGCAACTTTAACAAAATATTTTATAGCAGTTTTGAAGTCTAGCTAACTTGGTCCGATAGAAAATTCCAGTGCACACAAAGCTGATCTCGTCGATATATTAAAGGTAAACGTGTTCTTCTGAGCTGATGTATGACAATCAAAAT